CGGCCAGCTGTCGGCTCCCACGGCGTCGCGTCGGCTGCTCCTCACTACTATAGTAGTGGAACCCACACGTCTTTCATTCTGCTGTACTTTTCCTCCTCTCAAGTAAAGTGTGCAACTGCAAGTTGAAATACTTGCAAGTGTTCATGTTCAACTCTGTAGATATGCACTTGACATTGTACAACTACTCTTTTGAACACCATAGTAAGCGTACTGTAATACATAGGTTTCCTTATAAGGAAGCAATGGACACAACAGAGAAGTTGCACATGCACACTTATAAGTTCTCAGCCACCGAGTTGAACACTATGAAGGTAAATACTTAAAAGTATTCAACTTGCAATTGCACACTGCTTAGATGAATAAAGCCGTTGACGTTGAACAATTGGTTTAACAGTTGTGTGGGTACAGTTTTGAGCTCTCCAGCTCGATTTATAACTCAACTTTACAATGACCTGTTCGAAAAGCAAGGTTACAGGCAGTTAAATTTTTGTTAGGACATCAAGAAAACGAGGACAAGAGAAAACTCCGCCAATTCGAATAGAAATTTATCAGAATGCATATGCGGTGGCAACACTGGATGACCGTCACCTTGAGCGTCTCATCGCTTCCCATCGTGCACCGTCACGATACACACACACAACACACACGCACCACTCACACACACCAACACAAATACACACACGCAGTGGCCACCATGATGCAATATTTGTTTATTTCATGAGGTGTCATCGGCAGCCACCCACGCGTTCCCTATACACATAACTTACTGAAGTTCTTTGATCTCCTGACCCTCACGCTAAGACGTCAACGAAACGACATAAAGAGCGCAGAGTTCTTTAAAATATAATTAAGTTAACAAGACTTATAATTTCTTTTCTATTTTCATTTTTTTAGTTGATTTCCTTCAGTTGGAAGGAGCTTTATCCTCATTTTATTCATCCCAAACTGTACCAGTAACATAAACATTTCAAAAACTGATAAAAGAGTAAGGAAAAAACAATATCACGCACAAAAGAAAAAGAAATGTTGTTTTTTTAACCCTGTCTGGTCCATACCAAAGTTGTAGTGACCCGGAACAAGCAGCCTGCGTGTCTCATAGCCAACGGCTTAGCTCAGCCAGACAGTGCGCCACGCCGTGCCTCCTCGAGGACATTGAAGGTCGTTCGGTAACGACGTGAGGAAGAGCAAGCAGTCGACTGGCGTTCGCCTCTCCAGACGCCCAAATAAGCAGCACGTATGAAACGAACAATGAAATGCCTTTCGAAGTAATTTAGGTCTGCTTTGTCTACTCAGGAAAAACTCTGCACGGACGATTTTACAAAATATCTTAAACTGCTGTAATAGTGAGTAAATCCCCTCAGTTTGCGCGAATTCCCACTGCGGAAGTAATATGTCATATTTTTCTCTGCGTTCCAACTTTGGGACCGAGGACCGTGCTTCTTTGTATTTCCAAAGAGAGACAAAAATTACGTCAACTGTCGCGTGAGAAGGAGTTAATAAAATAGCCGAGGAGAGATTTATGCCCCCCCCCCTTTTCATCACATTTACTCGAAAAACAAATATATTAATACATAAAACTGTAATGTGAGGGAAACCCTTACACACAATCACATACACGACGCCACACGCAACTGTCTTACCCCCCCCCC